TATATATATATATATATATATTGAAAATGTCTAACTAAATCTGTTATTATTATTATTAGCTTATTATTACTGTACTTCTCTTTTTTTACCATTTTATTATTTCATTTTCTTCTCAAGGCTGATTAGTATTATTTACCAATTAGTATAAAGCTTCTAAGGTGAGTCGTACCTTGTACAACAAAATGACTAACTTAAGTACTGTTATTACTTCAACTTACAAAAATAAATTTTCTTGTTAAAGCTGAGTCTGCTTCCCATTGGATAATGGAATAATGAAAACAAAAATACAAAGAAATGTTTAAGTTTCCAAAATAAAAAGCTCACAAGATCTGCTTGAGTTGAAACCCTCTTCCTAGTAGTGCCCGTGGGCTTGGGTTTGGTTGTGCCTGGATGCGTTACTGTAACTTGCTTTGCAGGTCGAGCCACGTCACCACTTCCCAACGATCCTGGACTGATCTTCTTCTCCTGCAAAAGATTTCATTTTTAGAATTTTACTCTTAATTTAAAATTAATTATCTAAACTATTTTAAGAAAGTTTTTAAAAGAAGTGTTTTATTGAGGTAGCTGTTGATAAATGATTTAAAATTTCTTTCCAAGAACATTTCTCATTGTGTGGTAACTTTCCATAAGAACATTGAGTTCCTACTCCTTATGAAACGTTTCTTAATTTGCAAGATGTTTAAAAAAAAACACCTATTCTGGCTAGAAGTGAACAAAAAACTAAAATACAAGAGAAATATTAAATTAATAGTTTCCTTTTGAGTTTACTTACTGATTAAGTATTATTTTATTACAAGTTACAGCTTTTACAGTAAGAAAGATTATATTTTTAGAACAGGTTTGATCTTATGGCACGTCCATCAATTGGTGACTGTATTAAACAGTGTAAAATGATACTTTCAAGCTTCCCCGAGAAAGATTAAAGCTCTATCTTAAGTAATTATGAGAACTTCATGAGTGAAAGTTATGAAGAATGTAACAAAATGTTAACTACACCATATCTGTTTATATATTCAGTGATGACAAACCCCAATACCAGAGCTCATCAGAGCAGTGGTCGAGATGCTATGTAATTACTTGAACAACAATTGTTCTGATGTGAAATTATGTTGGTGAACTGTTATTTTTATCCTTTCAAATCAGAATTAGGTTTATGCTTTATGGATGTGGATCAAAATCTCATGATCTGTTTAAACATGCATGCCCAGACAAATGGAAATTACTTTGAACAAGCTGAAAATGTATCTGGTCGTATTTAATTAATAGAATATTCATTTATTGTGTCTATTTATGAAACAAATTATCTTTATTTATTTTATTGATTTATGGAATAAATTAATTTTAGTTAACAATATTTATTTCTTTAGTTTATGAACCACTCATTTCATTCACTATAGTTAAAGACAACTATAGTAGTATTGGTATGAAAGAAATAATGCTAATGATAAAATATTAAATTTCCAGACTTAACTACTGAAGCTGTATAGTCTTAAGAGATTCTCTGACTTAGAACAGTAAAAAAGACATATCATTGTTTAATAAAGTGTTTTATGTAATCTTATGAACTGAAACTTAACAAATGCATATATATATGTATAGGGAAAAGTAGGAGTCACGTAACTAACAACAACATGTAAGTAAGACAATACTTTATGTTTGTAAACATAAAAATAACACCGCCAATAACCAATGAAAGCATAAGGTCATTTCAAATCCAGAAAAAAAAACAATCGTCTAACCAAATCAGTTTTTACGTATCGTAGATATACCTCTTCAGGAATGGACGATCGTTGCCATGAGTAGCGCACGCTTGCATATTATTTTCATTTCCAAGTTACACACTATGAGTGAATATTCAGAAGAAAAACTCAAAGAATTGTGTTAATGCAGGAAATGTTTAGAATGTAACAATCTGTGCACTAAGTCTCGTACGTATCTTAATGATTATGTGAAATGATAATAAAAATAAAAGCTAACAGGCTCAGTTTAGGTGCGAAAGCATGCACGACCTGCACGTGCTTCACCATTGTAATCGCAGTTATCTCGATATTCCTTCGATTTCTCTCTCTAACGATTTGATCGGTGAAACACGGTCATCGTCAGGGCTATGCATCAAGTTGTGGATCTAGAACTGTTTGAAATAAATTTTATATTATTTGTTCCTTAATCCTTGACTTTAGATTTGAATGGATTATTTTTGCCACCCGATTCCGTACGAAAAATATCATTGCACCATGTTGTTTTTTTGGCCATGTCATAAACAATGCTTGTACATAAACACTTAACAGCAATGTTTTGATGATGAATTTAATTTTTCCAAGTTTTCCGTTGATTTTTGGGATAGTTTTAGTCATTACACTTGCAGAAAATTACAAACATGTTAGAGGCACACAGTAAAGTCCACTGCTTTGAAGCCCCCTATTGTATAGGCTTTTCTCTAGGCCCAAACTCGGAATCACTATATATTTACTCTCCTATAACATGTCTTATATATATATATATATATATATATATATATAT